GTGGTACATAGGCGATCGTATAGCCTGTTCCGAATCAAATAATGTGATAAAGCCGTGAACTTCTTCACGAGCTTGTTCTGAATGTGAGGCGGCATAGCTTGGCCGATTGCTGATTCTGTAAAAGTTTATGAAACTTGATAAAAAAGTAAAATTAGTAGCCTTATACCTCTTGGATGCTCCTTCTTAGGGGAGCTTTCGTCTATTCACTTTAACGAAGAGATCTATGACCTACAAAGCAAAGAGCATTCAGGCAAGACTCACAGGAGCTTTTCACATTCACCTTTTGAATGAAGAAAGTTTCATCCGAGCTGATTTCGGAAATGGTCCTGGTCACTACTTGATTTTCCGGGTAAAACTGCAGCAAACATTATAACATGGAGGTCACATGGAAGTTTCTAATCTTCCTATTCAAAGTTTCAATGTATCCAGTTCTAGATTTCATTATATGCATTCGAAAGGCTCTTCTGAACATTGATTCTAAAATGTGAATCCAACCAATCTGAAATGTTCGAAGTCACTAAATTTCAATGCAAACATTTCTTCAGACAGACGATCGAGTATGTCTACGTTGACGCTATTCTTATCTGTTTTCGGGTTCGCGGGTTCTTTTGGTCCATCAGACACGGGTTTTTTGGTCCCTCGGTCACGGGCTTTTTTTGTGCGCCGTAGCATCAGCGCCATGAAGCATTAGGTTGATCTTTGCCGTCGCATCCGCGCTATGTAGGATTAGGTGTGATTTTGAAGGAGCGCGGCAATAGCGAAGGTGTTCGGCTGCTAGGTGCCAGCAGTGAGGGATCGACTAGCTCAACTGATCCTGAGAAGGCGGACCATCCATCTGACACCGAAGTTTGATTTAGTTTATTACGGACAGCATGATCGGGGTGAAGCCGCTCGTATCGGGGATATTTCACCTAGTAGCAACCCTACAAGATCTAGCACACTTGTGAAAAGTTTCCATGAAATAGATGGCTATAACCGTAAAGAAGCCGCAATTCTCTAGAAAACTGCTGATTTGACTTTTTCATTTTGTAGACATTTCTGGCTGGCTCTTATTATATCAAGAGAAATATCAAAAAGATTTCGAAGGACATTTGAAGTGGTCCGTCTCAGTTTTATACTGGAATCGCACAACACCTCAACACATGGTTGATTAGGAGTGTACAACAGATTCATGAATTCGAATGATCAAGGGAATGCCACCAGTCGGTTCCGCCCCTTATATTGAAATTAATTGTTCTAATGTTCGGACAAAGGTGAAAAGCTCTACCTCATTCACCACGTAGTACAGACGTTAGTACAACTGTCTGACTTTTTTGTACGCTTGGCAGAAAGAAAGGTAACTCCCCAACAGTCTCAAAAACTACATTCTTCTTAATGTTTCGAGAAGCCCAAAACTTCATTTACGTAGAAATTCATAGATGTCATTTGCAGATCAATTAAATTGGCGCTAAGGGGTTAGGCAATCGCGTGTGACAATGCTTTTCCATGAGGCAGTGAGCGGGGGGAGCCTAATGGAAAAGCATTGTAACACGCGATTTGCGCGAATTTAGTGTCGATTTTTTGCAGTTCCCTTTCAAATCGGAGGTCACCTTAATGCAAGATAAGTTCTAAGCACGAATTCCCAGAGGTAGTGGTAGGTAGGAATCTGATGTGGAGTTGAACAGAGACGTTTCATGATAAGACGAACTGAAAATCAGTAACAATCTGGTGAATTTGTCTGCGTTTGTATAATCTTAGACCATGAGTCGGCGTAGTGAGTGACAAGTTCGTGATGAACGTCGAAGTCTCGACTTCGGCGGTGGAGTTGTGTAGCTTCGTAGTTCTGCGCCGTCAGCTTGAGTGGAGTTGACGTCGTACCGTTCTCCAGCATCACTTGATCACTTATAAGGTAAGGTTTTTTGTGAAGCGGAAGGGAGACTAGGGGCTGATTGGTCCCAGCTGGTTAGCGTGTCTTGTCCACAGTGAGCTTCCGTGCCTATGCATGACGTTTTCGATCGTTGAGTTATGATGCCTTGTATCCAAGTAATTTCCCTTAGGTAATGTCCTGCGTAGAAGTACCACCCACTTAGAAATGGCGACTTTTGACTATGTGATATTTGCTGAACTGATTCTCCGCTTTGGCGTCGCGTCTTCTATGAATGGCATCAGAAGCCGTTCAGCAAGGCGTAAGCTCAGGGAGCTTTCAGCAGGCAACAAATTGCTTGCTCCGTGCGTCTATCGTTGGTTCCTTCTCCTTCATTTCGGCCAATCCCCTCTTGAACATCCCCACAAAGTGCTCTGCTTGTCCACTGCTTCACGGATGAAACGGAAGAGATCGGTCATGTTTGATGGCACGAAAAAATTGGAAACATCCTCGAATACTGCTGAGGTAACTTAGATGTCGTTGTCCGTGATTAGCACCGCGGGTTCCTGAACTGTACGAATACTTCTGTGAAAACTTTGTAGTTGCCGACGTGTTGAATGACTTCGTCTGATGATCTCTGGCCAGTCGTAGAATGCTTCGCGATATTGAGTTAAGAGCTTCCGACGAGGAGTTGTGCGGAAACGATATGAGTTTGAGGCTACAAAATGAGTGGCCTCGGTCTTCACGGGATTCCTGGCAAATCGTGCGCAGACGGTGCTTTTTCACTATAACACTGGATTACAGGTAGGCATAACGGCAAGCAAAGGCCTTCGAATAGTTCCTGCAGTGACATCACAGTTATCTCTCGTAGGCTTGCTTCGCGGCTGCTTCCCTGAATGTGGTTGGAGAAGCGGACGTAGCCAGCTGCATCAAGCTCGACAGAATGATACTTGTTTTGCTGCTCCATCGAAGGTTGCACCATTCTGAGTAATGATGTCCATGTGAGGGTTGTACCAGATGTCGAAGGTGTGCCATTTTTCATGTCGTGCGTGAATTGATGTGGCGTGGGCGTTAGTAAAATAAGATTCACAAGAACATGCCTTGCATCTCTCTCATGAAGGCTTTTAGCACTTAATCCTAAAAAGCAGATTGGGCGTCGAGAATGGCACGCCGAGTGAATGCAAATGACAATTAAAGAAAATGTCGGGTTTGCATAACAGTCCCGGTCAAATATCCCGGTCGAACTACGTAAAACTGTAAGGAAACTTTCAAAGTGAGGCTCAAAAGTGGTCTACAATTGAATTCAGACAACATGTGGGAATCTGTTGGTCCACAACAGAACCCATTCGAGGCCGGATACTTTTCCCAAAGCTCCTTCGTGGCATATTGTGTTGGCGCTGAGGAGTTGCTTTTTGAAACAAAGAGCACCACGAAGAGGGCCGAAACTATGGTTTTTGAGAAGTACTCAGGTGTGTATAACAACTACCTTGGTATAAAAACTCATCTTGAAGCTATTCATTGGTCACGTACTATTGCTAGATTCCCATTTTCGGCAATCGTCTATGTATCGATCGCGCCGCAGCGGATCCTCAAGAAACAGAAGCTTCCTGTCTTTTTCCTACAATTACCTTCACATTTTGGAGAATCCCAAAACTCACTGTATCTCACGATTGTCCTCAACCGACCTTTCTTGAAACATTGAGTAAATTATAAGTAATAAATGCCAACAATCCGCAGAGACGAATCCAATCAGCAATACATGTTGGATTCACAGTAGTAGTAGATGAAGCGATTGATTATTTGTGTCCGTTTATCACACAAGCACTCTTGTGTAGTGCATAGAATAAAATGAAAACAAATTAAAACACAACAATCATAAACTGCATGCAACAAAGAGCACAAACGCGGCTAGCTGCAATGCAAAACGAAACTACAGAAAATATTTAGAAGCTATGATATAAGGTACTTGAGCGGCGTCCTCTTGACGAACTGGTTTCGTTACTTCAATTTTTCTGCCATTGCTGACTGAAGTTAGTGTGAAGCGCACTCCGGAAGGAATAGAACGAAATGGTTAGTCATCATTATGCTTAATACAAAACATCATTTTAGAGAGAAAAACGGCAATATATTCACCTTGACGTAGGAATCAACTCATTTTATCTGATAACTGAACAATTATCGAATAGAGTGCAGCCGTAGAGTGCCCAATTAAATGCCAGCCCGGAGTACAAGCGCACAGAATCGACGCTTCATCTCTACACTAATAAGAATTCTTCATTGGCATCATCTCATGTAGCTTTTACGAGGCTGCGGCAAACTGTTCTGAGAGATCATCCGCATAATTCTTATCATCATTGGTGTCTCATTGGTCCCTTGTTGTTCACCTAGAGTGGGACGTAACGTGGTGGAACCGCAGAAGGTTGGTCCCTTTGTTGGGAGCATTTCGAAGTTCGAATTTCTGCTATTTTCAGGTCCTCAAGGCGACGATTCAGTTGAAACGTTGATCAATAAAACAGCTCGACCACAATCAACCTGTACGGTAGAGCAGTAAAGAACATTATGTTAAATGCCCAGGTTTCAAGAAGACCGAACATGAAAATTATTCTGAAAGGGTCATTTATCGCTTACCAAAAATCTTCCAGAGTAAAAACTGGTAGGAGCCCCAATACAGCTCCAGAAATAGACTCTGATACATTTCAAATTTTCGCAACAACGTTGTTTATAGAAAACTGCGAGAATCATTTTTCTTTTTTTCTCGTTGTCCTCTACTCTCAATTCCCAGCAATGCCTTCCAAAGAAAAGTGTCATCCATTTACGGACTGTTTTCATTGCTTCTGTAGGCATTGCACAGCAGAATTCCAGTGCGATGAGAATACTAAAGCTCACTCGATCACTTTGTCGAAAGACATTTACCAGTAATGCCTATATGAATTTCAATTCCTTTCAATGACGACGAAATAGCATTATAAAACTTGAGTGTTCAAAAAGCCTATATGTCAAATAACAGTATATAAAGCCTCTTGAAATGAAGCTAATGAATTTTTTGTATTGTCTATTCCATGTTGCTCCAGTTATGCCCATATTTGCTCAAACTACACAGCTAACCATGCAGTGCCTACTGTTGGCTTTACTTCCTTCCATAGTAGTATGGAGTNATATAAAGCCTCTTGAAATGAAGCTAATGAATTTTTTGTATTGTCTATTCCATGTTGCTCCAGTTATGCCCATATTTGCTCAAACTACACAGCTAGCTATGCAGTGCCTACTGTTGGCTTTACTTCCTTCCATAGTAGTATGGAGTATGGGAATTAACGCAGGTAAGAACAGGCTCAAGCATGAACATATGACTGTATACTATTCAGCACTCCTTCCGAACTCTCCTAATGCGGCTCCTACTGTTTAACTTCCAAATGCGTCGATGAGCGGTGAGGAGGAGGAGGATGGGGGTTTATACAGTGGGGAGAACACACTAAACAAAAATGCCTGAAGACTCGTGCTTTTCCTGTTTTCCACTCAGAAAACGATTGCAGAAAAAGCACTACCCGGAATTATTATTCCTCCGCATAAGGATAGGAGTGTCTGAAAAACCATCCTCCAAGTTTTATTAAATGAATTTTACTATTTCGTGTAAGAGGTAAATAAAATGTATATGTAGATAGATATGTGCTTATCGGATCTTGTTTATTATAGCTCGGCAAACCAGAGATGAAGCTCCTCTACCCGATATTCATGCCCTATCAAAAGAAATGTTTGGACAAGAGTTGAAAAAACTCGATCCTGACACGCTGGTTAGCGCCTTTTCTTGAATTCGAAATTTTGTGAAAGTTTCGCGAATTTGGGGATTATAGCCAAGATGAAAAAAGTGTTTGTCAAAAGCAACAGAAACATACTCAACAGAATTGGAAATTTATTAACTTGGAAGTAAACTTGGGGGTTGCAGGAAAAAGCGAAAACCCCGGAAGCGCAAAGGCTTTTGAATGATGTCAAAGATGATGAAGATCTCAAAATGTTTGCCGAATTGGTGGGTCGTAGAGACCCTCATGAATCAAATTTCTCACATACCGAGCAATCGTTTGCATTCAGGTGCTTTCTGATTTGGAAAGTGCGAAGAATGGAGAAAACTCCGAGAAAGACGCTGCTATAGCGTATGCAATACTTGTTATTTTAGCCTACTTCACCATGATCATTTTATCCTTTGCAGAGTCGATAGATGGTTATATTTTTTACCGCCTGACAAACGAAGCATAATGGAGAATAAATATCCTTCTCTGAAGGGAAAAAGTAAGCTCACTGTACATCCTTTTGTAAGCTGTGCATTCATACCCGCCACATGAATAATACTCCGGTGCCAAGCAGGTTTTTAGTGATGTAAACTGTACAAAAAATTTTTATTCAATGATCACAAAAGTCAAATTTCAGGGTTTGTATCTTCTCCCCAAAAATTGTGCCGCTCCCAATCGCGCACTCTGAAGGGAATGTTTTAAATTTTCTGTATAAGCAATCTACGCAAATCTGTAGCTATTAAAGAATACCGAAGCCAAGACCTCTCAATCTTCCGAAACCTAAGGGCGGTGATTTTGTATTGGTCCGAGGCTCGTTTTTGAAGGGACAGTGAGAGACAGTGAGAAAATAAGAAAAGAACAACATGAAATTTCAACGAAAAGTTATATGGGTGACAGTAAGTATAGATTCCCATAGAAAAGCAGTATAAAGAGGGGGGGTAGAGCTCCTGTTGAAGCCATGCAGAGTTTAAGCATTGCACAATAGGATTAGCCCCGCTGGCAGAACCAGAGCAATCCTACAATACGGTAACTCCTCAGTAATAACGAACCCTTCTTCTCGTGGCTCCGACTGCTTCCACTCATCGGGTTTTCATACCTAATCGAACTTCATGCTGGCATACATGAAGTGACACTTGAATTCTGATGTCCCGGGCATTATTGGAATGTTTTCAAGCTGAAGAACAAGAACAGCTCTCTGTCTCAGAGTGCGGTACGCTACGGGCATTCCAAAGTCACGGCTTATTGGAAGCATTTCGAAGAGTTTGGAATGCTTTTTTCCATTTGAGGGAAAGCAAAGTTACCATTTGGAGGAGACTTTCGACTGTAATGTGTGAAAATTGTGAACAATGGATAACTGGGTGCAACTATATTATTATAGTAAGAAGTCAGGTAATTACCAATCATATCTTGAGGTTATCGGATGTAATATGAAATCGAACATCACTAGCGACATACAGTAGCGCTCAAAAGTCATCGGCCAAATGCCTTTTCAGTCGTACGTTTCAGTCGTAACTCCTTTCCTACTTGATCTAATCATACGGAATTTCAATATGTGTAGCATGGGTCTATTGAGAATTTTTACCACTACCAACCTGCAATCTGATCATGTTCTAGATATCCCAAAGAGCTCGAAGTCTAGATCAGTACGGATGGAAATACGGATGATGGCCCTTCTTTAATTACTTTTCCTTCTGCCATGTCTAAAGTGCAAGAGGGCCAATGCCGAACACAACAGATGAGAAAAACTCACATAAGGTGCGAATAACTGCAGACGTCAATAACTTTGCTTTCAGCGAAGTCTACTACTGCAACAAACACCTTCCCCCTTAGTTATGTGAATATTGCTCCTTGTCAAGTAGTGTTGGATAGTGTGAAATATGCTTTACTTAGACATATCAAACATTAGCGCGATTCGTTCCACTGAGAGAAAAGTTGTGAACGAAAAGTGTAAGAGCGTTTGGTCGAAGGCTTTTAAGCGCTGCTGTAAGTGATGTGGCGCAAATAGTAAGTCGAAAGTGTCCTCACTAACAGGAATGATTTGCTCCAAAGTTTTATCTTTCAGCTTTGATCAAACGATAATTGCCGACTTTCAACATCCGGTTGATGAATTCAACCTTAAATGAGTAAGCATTCAAAGACAAGTTCACAAGGGGGTCTTCGGCAATGTCTAAAGACCCGGTCTGAATCTGCTTACGGCAGATGCCCATGTCAAATAGTCACAGCCATTACTCACCTAGCACTTCTGATGCGAGTCAACTTCAAACACAGACCCATAAAATCGATGTGAAGAGACTTTTAAGGACAGATTATTAGACAGGGAAAAGTAGACGGAATGGCCTAGCATTACGGAAGGATGGCTAGGCTCCCATAAACTTTAGCATTATTCGTGCTCGCTAAGAAAGGGCTTCCAGACCTAAGTCAGAATGGTTGCATTGGGAAAACCTGTTTGGCAAGAAGGCAGTTCTTGAGCATAAAAAATCCTAGATGACCTTTTAACAGCTTTGTTTACGGATACTTTGCTTCACTGTACAATTTTAATACAGAGTTATGTGACGTAAACCAACGAAGGCATCAAGTATTTTATCAAATTCTGTTAAGGGAGCCCTGATGTAAAAAAGGAATCTCCACATGACATTGGGGACGAAGCAAGAAAAAAACTACTTGATCGTCTGTCAGAAGAAATGTTTGGGAAAAAAGTTAAGGATGTCACCCTTGAGATCTTGGTCAGTGTCATTCCTCCAATTTTATTGAAGGTCTCTTAACTGTAATATTACTATTCTTGTTAATAATGGTGGCTGCAGGACGATGAGAATAATCCAACTGTAACACGTACCATTGAAGCTGTAGGTGACGATAGCGGTGCCTTGAATTTTGTGTACGAGGTGAGTCGAAAACATCTTCAAAAGTCCTGCAGCTAATTATTGCTCAATTTCAGATGATTAAATTGATAGACGGTTACAACAATGGACTTTACAAACCGGATCATCTAGTGGACGGGTATTTTTGAACTGTCTAGCAAAATTTACGAATCTCATGTTATCGTTTTTAGAACTAAGCTCTTTCTAAGACAATCGGGTTCCGATGACTTGCTGTTAAAAATATTTCCTACTCTTGAAGAGATTATAGGTAAGTCATTGCTATTTTTTGGCAATACAGTAAAATCTCCCTCTGGATACGCAACCATAGCTTGTCTGTCAAACAGACATCTTCTAAAAACGAACATCTATTGCACCCGAAATCCCACAATTTGGTATTCTCAACAATTGGATAATATTAAAAATTCTAAAGTCGGCAAGGAATTTCTAAGTAATCTGCAAAGTGATCCAACCAACTCACTCCGATCCAGAGCTCTTCCAGCGATAGCCATGGTCTAGTCAGTAATGGGAACTCAAGGTCTTGTGGAAAGAAGCAGTGAGCGGAATCACATGGAAAAAATGACATTGCAGTGTTAGGAAGCACCGTCGTTGGATGTTTAGAACACGGCCGCTCAATACTGGAGCTGATGTTGCCGGAATTCCATCCACGAAGGTTCTGTTTCCAAACTTTTTGCCCTCACTTCAGTGAGGGTCAAAAAGCAAGTAAGCTGTCGGCGTGGGAATCGGGAGCCTATGAAAGGAGCAGAAACCGTATGGACTGAAGTTCGCTAATGGAACACAAAGTTGCAGGTAACTAAGAACAGCCTGGAGCGAAGAGGTTACAAAAGTGCAAAATTTACCGGAATTTCAAAATTTTACCATCTTGAAAAAATTAAAGCTGTAGGGAACTAGGTTGCATTATGGCTCCAATCCTAGGATTTGTTTCGCATTATGGCCCCAATCCTAGGATTTGTTAGGAAGGTATATATACTGGAATGTAAGCCGACCGAAGTATTGTTAAAATCTCGGTTCGCACAACTAACGAAGTAAAATCCACCATTAGAACATATTCCGTTTTATAAGTCCCTTTAGCTGTTATACAGTAGTCAAGAATAGAAAAGGGCATAAGCATCGGAATAGGTTGCTGTAACTACTTTTTTCCTTAAGCTGAACAATAATCATCGGAAATGAATACTGCGGATTTTCAGATCCTACTAAAAAGCCCAAGCCAAAAGAAACCAAGCCTCCAGATGCCAGTCAAGGAAAAGACAGGAAAATAGAAACAACTCAACCCAACAATGATCAGGAAAGGAAAGGTGACAAAAGTGGGGAATCCCAAGGTTCCGGAATGTTTCCCACTTCAGGAAAAGGTTGGGAGATTGTGTCATATTTCCACTGTTCGTCACGGAAGTACATATTTCATTTTATAAGATCAAGTGTTATGCAGCAAAAAAAGTAGAAATAGGCAAATGCTTTGAAATAGGTCATCGTGACTGTATCTCCCTCTCGAAGCATGTGAGAGTAATCGAGAAAGAAATATATACCATTTTTCAGATTTCTTTGGAGGAGGCGAATCAAAAGAAACCGAATCTGAGAATGCCAATCAAGGGCAAGGGAGAAAAATTGAAACAACTCTACCGAACAATGATAAGAAAACCGTGGAATCGAAAAAAATTGAAAATAGTCCAGAAAGAAACCTTCTGGATCGCTTGTCAGAAGAAATGTTTGGAGAAAAAGTTGAAGACGTTAATGACGAGACAATGGTCAGTGCAACTACTGTGGAGTGGTAACTGGTGTTCAGTTTAGCCTTTTCTGATCTGCTATGGAATCTAGAATCACTGTCAGTGAGCAACGAATCAGTGAGAGAAAAGAATGAAATATGGAAGAAACTAGTATTTTCTTCTTCCAGTAATCTGGAAATTGCAGAAAAAACCGAAGAATCCAGTTGCAGAAAACACTGCAGAAGAAGCTAAAAAAGACAAGGGAATTCGTGACTTTGCCCATGAGGTGAGCCATAATTGGCTACTGACGCGTTTTTGAGTAGCATTCGTTGGATTCTAGGTGGTTAGTGCAATGGACAGGACGAACAAAGGCAAGCTCACCCCGAGTCAAGCGTTGGACGGGTACACTGCTTCACCGGTCGAGCGTCTCTAACTGATTCAGTGTTTTCCTTTGCAGGATCAGGCGCATATTGAAGATCTCGCCGTCTAAGGAAACGTTGCTCGAGATGTTCCCTACTCTAAAAGAGATTGGTGAGACTCAAGTTTATTCTGACGGTACGCTAGCATCTTCAACGAAGACTTTTCTTCAAAAAAAAAAGGATGCCTTTACCTTAACCCGCTAACCCGCTCAATCGGCGTCAAAAAATGAGCAAACTACCGATGTTCACCGTAATGCCGATTCGCAGGTGAACAGGAACAAGTGGAAAAGTACCAAAATTTTAGAAAATTTTTAAATCCTTAAGAACAAGCTGATTGAAAGCAGGTTGGACATTGTGGTTCTAAAGGTAAAGGATTTAATCGGCTCGAAATTCATATTCGGGTATATATGTCGGCTCATATTTCGACGTATAAGATTCGCCAATGTTATGTGCAGATAAAAAAGAAGCAGGCGAGGGCATGGGTTCAGGTCATGGTGGCTATTTCTTTCTCTAAGCTTGAAATAATAATCAGAGAACAGTACATTTTTTCAGATCCTGTTAAAGAAGACGAATCACAACCTGAATATCATACAATAAAAACAACTGAACCTAGTGAGCCTGACGAGAAAAAAGTGGAATCAAAGGAACCTGACAACAGTCCCGACAGGAAGCTTCTGGATCGCTTGTCAGAAGAAATGTTTGGAGAAAAAGTTGAAGACGTTAATGACGAGACAATGGTCAGTGCAACTACTCAGAAGTGGTAATTAGTACTCAGTTTAGCCTTTTCTGATCTGCTGTGGAACCTAGAATCACTGTCAGTGAACAACGAATCAGTGAGAGAAAAGAATAAAATATGGAAGAAACTAGTATTTTCTTCTTCCGGTAATCTGGGAATTGCAGAAAAAACCAAAGAATCCAATAGCAGAAAGCACTGCAGAAGAAGCTAAAAAAGACGAGGGAATTCGTGACTTTGCCGATGAGGTAAGCCATAAGTGGTCACTGATGTCATTCTACCTAGTATTTCAATTTTAGGTGGTTAGTACAATGGACAGTATGAATAAGGGAAAACTTGCTCCGAATCAAGCATTGGAGGGGTACATTGCATCACTGGTCAAGCATCTCTGAACCAAATTAATAATCTCGGTTGCAGGATCAGGCGCGCATTGGAGGGTTCGCCGTCTAAAAAACTGCTGCTCGAGAAGTTCCCTACGCTGAAAGAGATTGGTGAGACTCAAGGCTATTCTGGATGTACCCTTGTATCTATCTGGAAAAAGTATAACTAGTGATTTCTTCGATTGAATGCAAGCATCAGACTTCACTGGCTGATATACAAAAGGGTGCTTCAATCCTTTTCACTCCCCTCCCCCATCTCACACACAACTCTGGTACCAAATTAGCGACACTGGAAGGATGGAGGGTTTAGTAGCGTGGGTGGATATCGATTCTATGACCATGCATGCATGTTAAGTAGCGCGCCTTTTGCTGCTCCACTACCCCTGCCTTTATTTTGGTTATGAAATTGTAACTCCCTGCAGAGCAAAATCTTCCAGAAGTTAGAGCACTTCTTCAGCGTGTCGCAAAATAATCCAATTTATTTACTTATTCTTGACTACGTCGCAGAATAATTGAAACAATTCACGCGCTAAAAAAGCTCTTCAAAAAATACCGAAGCAATGCAAGGGAGAGCTTTCGTTGAATCGTCAAAACTTGGCCCCTCCTTATTAAAGTTAAAGGCACGGTGCACGATAAAAAACGTTACTGAGTTCTTACCTTATCAATACTAAGCGGCCCCCATGGGGGTTAGAAGGGACTCTCTAGCTCCCACAATCTCGACGCTCAGGGCATAGTGGAAGCCCTGTTGCTGTCGTAAATGGCTTTTACACCCCTCGATCGATGTCACGTCAGACGAGTGTCGGAACAGGGGACGAAACATTCACCCAGAACTGGATGGGCGCGGCAAACCGCGCGGCAAAATTCGTGGTGATTAAAACGATTCCGGCGCCTATCACTGGGGCACAAATTCAAAGTGGGCTAGTCAAGTAGCATCAGATAGCCCTACATATCCAATCTACTTGAAACCCGTACCCCGATGATAGGCGCTAAAGCCGTTTTAATCACCATAAATTTTGCCGCGCGGTTTGCCGCGTCCATCCAGTTCTGGGTGAATGTACCCATACCCGTCGGGACAATACAGATTGCCATTTGTTCCGGGACCCACACACAATCAGCTGATCGCCGAGTGATGAGAGATCAGATATTTTTTCTCTCTTCCTTCTTCCCTCTGTTATTCTTTTTGCTGCCGCGATCCCCTATTTGATTTCCTATCTCAAGAGACGGAAAAAGGTGAGCTTTTTCTGCTGTAACTATAGTTTTTTGTTTACTTATGCCTATAAGTAATGAGTTTTTGCTTACCATAACCAATTATTTGCACAAGGACCCACACGCACGCAATGTTTAACACTGTATAGCTCGTCAAAATGCCTCACTCTTCTTCATTTTTCTGAACTCATTCTCGTCCAGCCCCCTGTTTAACGGTTTTTCGAAGGGATTCTTCAGTTTGGAAACACCGATTCAAGCAGTTTCTGCACCTGCATCGCATTATTTTCGATATTGTCTTCCATTTTTCATCGTGGCCTGAACTATCCAAAATTATCGTGCCCTGTGCTTTGAAGGGACAGTTCACGAAAATTTTGGGCAGTCCAGGTTATGATGAAAAATGGGTGACAAGATCGAAAATAGTGCGATGAAGGTAGAGAAACTGCGTGAATTGGTGTTTCCAAACTATAAAAGCCTTCGAAAATCGTTAAACAGGGGCTGGACGAGAATGAGTACAGAAAAAATGAAGAAGAGTGAGGCATCTAGACGAGCTATACAATGTGTCTCACTGCGTACGTGTGGGTCGTGCTGCAAATAAAAGACAATGGTAAGCAAAAATTCATTCAATTATAAACATAAGTAAACAAAAAGCCCTAGTAACAGCGAAAGTAGCTCATCTTTTCAGCCTCTAGGAGTCGGAAATCAAATAAGGGAGCGCATCAGTAAGAAGAATAGCAGTGGAAAAAAGAATGGGAGAAAAACATCGCTTCATCATTCGGCGACAGCTGATTGTGTGTGGGTCCTAGAACGAAAATTTGCAATCTGTATTGTCTCGACACTCGTCTCTGACGTCTGACGTGACATCGATGGAGAGGCGGGAAGGTCATCCACGTACCTGCCCACTGAAGTATCGTGAACGTGCCTTTAAAGACGCCAGAATTTCTACAACGAAGGCTCTCTTCTTAACCTATTGACGACCACTACGTTTTACGGGAAAACGCCGTGAGGGACCGGCGCGCTTTTCGTCCACCAGCAACTGCAGCCCACATGTGGACTTATGGTCCAGCATGACCGTTTTTTGAAGTTTATAAAAAAAATTATAAATTTTTAGGAGTGTTCCTTCAAATGGGAATAGAATGGGAATAAGAATAAGAATGCCCTCATTGAGTGTTTGTTGATCTTCATTATAGAGACGGCATTCGTTCCAGTGGTCATTCAATTATGAGTTCAATCATTACCAGAAATCGTTTAGGGGAACTTTTTTGCGTTGCCTTGGGAGCTTTGCGTTTGGTTGATGAAAGGAAAAATGCTATTGACGGCCATCTTCTAGAAATATCTAATTTTTTAAAGTTGTTCAACGAACGAAGAATTCACCAAGGTAATGTACTCCTTCGAAAAAACACCTTTACAATCGTGAAATTAGAAGATTTTCTAGGACCACGCTGTACGTTGTTTCATTTAGGCCTGATGTAATGTTTTTAAAAGAAAAGGTAAAAAAATGAAAATATAGATGAATAAAACAAAAAAATTTAACTGCATTCCACATGTGGACTGCATGGTCGTCAATGGGTTAAAGAGGATGCCCTTGAATTCACCCGCTTCAGTCAGGGTCAGAAAAATAAGCAAACCAACGGTCTTTAATGTAACGCCCATTTGCAGGTAGCCAAAAGCAGGAAAGAGTGAAAAGGTGGGAAAAGCGAGAAAATCTTAGAATATTCCCAAACCCATAAGAAAGAAGCTGATTGAAAGCACCTTGGCCATTGTGGTTCCAAACATAAGGAATTTGATCGGCACAAAGTTACATATTTCCACTAAAAAACCCCGTCAATTGTTATGCAGCAGATAAAAAAGAAGCAGGCGAGGCATAGGTTCAAGTCATGCCGCTATCGTTCTTTCTTTGAGCTCGAAATATTATAATAATCACCAACAGTACATTTTTTGAGATTCCACTTTAGAAGAAGGGTCGGAACCTACAGATGCCATTGATCAAGATGAAGGAGAACGTGAAATAAAAACAACTGTACCTGATGAGAAAACAGATGAGTGGAAGGAACCTGAAAGTAGTCCCGATAAGAAGCTTCTGGATCGCCTGTCAGAAGAAATGTTCGGGGGAAATGTGGAAGACGTCAGTGATCAGACGATGGTAAGTACAGCAACTCAGACCTGAGTTGGTAAGAGAATTCCAACTTTAATGCGCACTGTATATAATTTGACAACAGTGGGAAAAAACGAATTACTATTAATAAAATGTAAAGAGCTCCGATAACTACAGGATGAACCTAACAATCCGACGGCGCAGAACACAGCAAACGAAGCCGAAAAGGACAATAACGTTCGCGATTTTGTGTTCGAGGTAGTATGAATTTGGAAACAATTTCATGTGCCTTGCACTCTCTATATTCATTCGATTATAGGTGCTTAATTTGATGAAAAAGAAGAAAGCGGGAGCAATAACATCTAAATGGGCGCTGAAGGGGTATACTGCACTACCATTCAAAAACTTTCTGCATCTCTCATTTCATAGATTGCAGGATCGGTCGCTCACTAAAGAATTCGCCTTCTCAGGGCTTATTGGTGAAGAAGTACCCTACCCTCAAAGAAATCACAGGTTTGACTGCCGTTTATTTTCAGCTGAATATTGTACTCTTTTTTTCTGATACGCAAAGAGTGGGTTTTCGAAGGACTTCTCGTGTAATACTAATCAAAAGCAAGCTTACTGAGCAAGCTTCGAAAGCTTGTTTCTTGAAAATTCAACAAAAGGAAAGGTTTCAGATGTCGGTGAAACAGAAGAGCCGAAAAATACCGCTGACAAAGAACTTCTTGATCGCTTGGCAGAAGAAATATTTGGAGAAAAAGTGGAAAAAATCAACGATAAAACAATGGTTAGTTCATCAATTCGGAACTGATGCTTGTAGGAGAACTACAGCTCTGTAAACTGGTACAAATGCAGAGCGAACCGAAGAACCCGACTGCGGAAAGTACGGTGAAGGAAGCCGAAAAGAATAACGATGTCCGCGATTTTGTGTTCGAGGTAACGAAATTTCCTAACCAAATTCATGTGTCTTAAACTTTACAATCATTGGATTTCAGGTGGCTGATTTGATGAAAAAGGCGGGGGCTGGAAAACTGAGTCCGCAATGGGCGCTGAAGGGGTATGCAATATTACCGTTCTGACTTTTCTATTGTTTCATGCCATCGATTACAGGATCGGTCGCTCACTAACGAATTCGCCTTCTAAGGGTTTGTTAGTGAAGAAGTATCCTACACTCAAAAAAACCGCAGGTTAGTTTGCCATTTGCCTTCAGCCAAATATTACAAACTTACTCGTTCATAAAATATGCCACAACACAGGCGTCGGCGGCACAGGTGTCCCCGTGAGTACGCAGTTGGCATGAACATCAGCTACAGAAGCTTGACAACGTGAATCGCACGTTTGGGGCTGAGAAAATGTGGCTCAACCCCAGTTCTAACAATCTCCGCTGTCTACGCGCCAACATCGACATACGAAGACGAGGATCTAAAAACGTTCTGTATGAAGGCACCCGAGAAGGTTTTTCAAAGAAAGTCACTTTTTCGTTCATGTCGCCGGCGATTTGATCGCTAAAATTGGCCTCAGAAGGACGGCTGAAGTGCTTCGGTGCTTACGGAATGAAATGGATTGAGCAGGCTGAAAGGCTGTTCCAGTTTATCATTTCGACCTGCACCATCCATTTTAATTCGCAGTTCTAGAAGCCCTCTCATGCGATGGACTTGGGAATCACCTGGAGACGGACCCGGAATGAAATTTATCCCATCATCTCTAATGATGCTGACGCTTGACTCACGTCGCGATCGTTCCGGAACCTACACGGGAGTCGGACCATCGTCTTCTCCGCCTTGTTTCTGCTCTCAGTGCGCGAGACTGAGCTGTAAAGTGTAGGAAACGAAACTCAGGACTGTTGTCATTTGGGGTCACTTCGCTTCTCTTGCCCGTTCCCGGAGATTTACAACATAGATGAAGAATACACCAGTTTGCTGAAAATCGTGACGATACGCTAGAAAAGCAGAGAGTCTACAAATAGCTGAGGTAAGGCTCTCCTCAAAATACTAGAACTGATACGCAGCAGGGATCGCGCGAGGTACAGATGCTCATCAACAAATGTCCGAACTCGCAGCGCTGGTAGAGAAGCGATAAAGTTCTGAACGAGAGACACAGCGCAGTGAGGGACGTTCCCGACGCCGTAGAGAGCGTCCGGGAAGTCCGAAAGAGCTTCGCCAATTACAAGACTAGAATGACCTCCATTCCCGAAGAGACACTTACTGCATTTCGAAGGATTTCGAAGGGCAGCGGAGAAGGCCATCCACGACTTCATCTTTGATCTCCTTCTACACATTTCTTCCTTTACTCTGGGGAAGTTTACATTCCGGCGATATCACCTTCTTTAGAGTCCGAAATGGATCGAAAACAATTCGCGGACTTTAGATCAAAGGTCTCCACAACCTTAAGAGAACTCGAAACCTCCTGGCCACCACGTAACCTAAAGAAGGGCACTCACCGTCACTTCGTGCATCCTCGTAATCATCCACCAACCGATAGTGGGACCAGGTCGGCTGGGTTTGTTCTTCATCGGAATCTCTGTGGAAAAGCCAAACTTATATAAAGCCTCAATTGCCGCGTCACTGTGAGACATTTTATCCTCCGGTTCAATTTAGTTTCGAGGATCCATGGAGTGACGGTGGTTCCCCTTCTCTAGGTTACGTGATGCCCTGGGGGTCTCTAAACTACGCAAGTACGAGGAGACTTTTGATCAATAGCCACGCAATGTATTGATCTATATCATTCCAAGAGGAAGGTGGTATCGCGGGAACGTTAGCTAATAAATTTTTAATACAACCACGTAAGAGGTCAAAGCAAACAACATCAAATAACCTCTATGACAGCAATGCCAATCTGCCCACTACCTTCTTAAGCGAGACGGATATGTCGCTTATTCAGTTCTACCTTCCGAAATTCGACGTGCCTCGCGTCGATGAAGAATCGCACAACATCCAGTCTAGACAGGATCTGAGCAGGGCTTCTGAAGTAGCCTTCCGCCAGTCATTGTCAAAATCGCGGCAACCCGGCCCTTCACGCGGTACCTGTCGGAGGGCAAAGTGCTCACGTTGTTGCTGTACAACAATGGAGATAAGGACGATATTGGCAATTGTCCCCGAATCTCCTGCTGTCTGTAGCATTCAATCAGAAGGTTCAGTGCATCCAACCATGTCGTCACTGTTACAAGTCTCATAGAAGTATCGCGAGAATATAGGATGCCGTTACCTCTGGCTTTATCGGTTTGAAGAAAGCTCCCGATACCGTCGAGATAGAAGCGGTAAACCAAGCCTCAGACAACCAGGGCGTTCCCTTCCAATATATGCATAACGACGCTTCATGAGCTATGCAAGAACTTTACTGCAGTCACGAGGAGTTCATATTTTCAGTGCCGCTCTCGAAAACGTCATGCGTTATTTGAAGTGGAAGGACTTGGGAGTGAGAGACGACGGCAGCTTCTTACATCACCACCACTTCGCGAATGACATCGCACTTACAACAACGATTATATAGAGCATAACGAATGCTCGAAAAAATGACGGCCTCGCGGAATGATAGGTTTTAAACTGGACTTAATGAAGACGTTCAGAAGAAAAAGATCAGTACCTAACAATCCTTTCATTCTGATAGACACGGTTATCTCCGAATGCTCTAGCTACGCGTATCTAGGTCGGGAATGTCAACATGACGGATGACGTAGCTCGGAGCTGAGAAGAAGGATACGCGCCGCGGGAGGAGCATTCGAAAACATCGAGGGAGTGGTGAAGAATCTCTTACCTCTTACCTGTTAAAGACTGCTCTTCTTCCGGGTAACGTAACTTCTTCCCGAGTTCCTTCGGCAAGCGGCAAAAGTCACACGGCGATTACCCTATCCTTCCACTGTAAACTCAAACCTTTCTCCTCATAGCACGCGAATGCGCACGATCGGGTACGGCGAGTGCGACGTTGTTTTCGGGGAGAAAAACCCGGACCCCTGTACTTCTTGCTTTGAGTAAGCCTCGGTGACGAAAGCAGGATGAACATGATGTTAGCGTCACTTAACGCGCTTCAAAAGGGGTGATGCTGAGTATTCCCCTACACGCAAGTGCAGAAGGGAATCTGGAATGCTGACTCCGTCATCCAGCGAAGATCAGGCATACCGGTGCTCACCCCATAAAATCTATGATCAGGTGGGCCGGACACGTGATGCAATATCATGATGACCGTTGGTACGGAACGGTTACTTCTGGATCCCTCGGCACTTCAAACGAATACCAGGACGGCCGCCAGTGCAATCGTCAGACTTTTCGTGAAAGCTTTGATCGTAAAGAGTGCTTTGCTCTGTGTCCCTTAAGCGATAACGATTCATTGGACTACTCTTACTCACGACAGGGATGATTGGAGACATTATTGACGTCCGCTAGGGGAAGTCGATGATCAACGGGACAACATGTGATACTTGTGCTCATAAGTTTTCTCCTGATACATGGTCATTGGGTTCTCAATAGGATTTCTGTATATCATTAGTTAAGAAAACTTTGCATTCGTTTTGGAGTTTCGTCAACAAGATATTTAACAAAGTTTCCAGATGTTAGTGAAACGGAGGAGCCGCAAGATACGGCTGACAAAGAAGTTCTTGATCGTTTGGCAGAAGAAATGTTCGGAGAAAAAATGAAAGAAATCAACGATAAAACCATGGTCAGTTCATCATATCAGACCTGATGCTTGTATGATAACTACGAGTGCTCTTTCCAATGTATAGAATTAGACAGTAATGAAAAACAAAAAACTTCAACCATTAGGAAGGATTAGAAAATTAGTCTTCATTCTGTAAACTGTGGAAACTGCAGGACAATCCGAAAAATCCAACGGCGAAAAGTACGGCAGACGAAGCAGAAAAGAATAGAGATGTCCGCGATTTTGTGTTCGAGGTAACCCAAATTCACAGCGAAATTTATGTGGTTTGCATTTTACATTCAGTCAATTCCAGGTGGTTGATCTGATGAAAAAGGCGGGAGCTGGGAAACTGAGTCCGAAATGGGCGCTGAAGGAGTACGCAACGTGACCGTTCTAGCTTTTCTACCTCCTTTGTGCTATGAATTACAGGGTCGGACGCGCGTTGAAGAGCTCTCCTTCTCAGGGCTTGTTGGTGAAGAAGTATCCTACTCTCAGAGAAATCGCTGGTTTGTCTGCCATTTCTTTTCAGTTCAACATTGTAACTTTTCTCCTGATGCGTGATTAATCAGTTCTCAAAAAGCTTTCTATCAGCTGAGAGAAGGATTGCAATTGTTTCGGATGACCGTTTACATGAAAATTAAGCAAAAGCTGAGGTTTCAGATGTTAGAGAAACGGAGGAGCCACAAGATACCGCTGACAAAGAACTTCTCGATCGCTTGGCAGAAGAAATGTTTGGAGAAAAAGTGGAAGAAATCAACGATAAAACCATGGTCAGCTCATCAGATCAGACCTGATGCTTGTAGGAAAACTACTAATCCTTTCTTAGAATTCAACAGCAATGATAAACAAAACATTTCAATCATTAGAAAGTATCAAAAAACTAGTATTTTTCTGTAAACTGTGGAAGTTGCAGAACGATCCAAAAAATCCAACTGCGAAAAGTACGGCAAGTGAAGCAGAAAAGAATAACGATGTCCGCGATTTTGTGTTCGAGGTAACCCAAATTTACAGCGAAATTTATGTGGTTTGCATTTTACATTCATCAATTTCAGGTGGTTGATTTGATGAAAAAGGTGGGAGCTGGGAAACTGAGTCCGAAATGGGCGCTGAAGGGGTAAGCAATATGACCGCTTCGGCTTTTCTACATATTCTGTGCCATCAATTACAGGATCGGGCACTCGTTGAAGAATTCTCCTTCTCAGGGATTGTTGGTGAAGAAGTATCCTACTCTCAAAGAGCTCGGTGGTGAATTTGCCGT